ACACGACAAAATTTAAAAAAAGGTCAGAATTCAGTTGTGGTGGGGAAGTTGTGTACAAGTGTACAACGAACATTTAGCCGTAAGAATTTTTCGAAACGGTGACATAATTTAGCTGAGTTAGACGCGCTTGATTATAGAAACGTGGCGATCATTGCTTTCGCTCTTTCTTTCTCCGCTGGTATCCTTTCCCAAAGCCGCTTTGCCTTCTCGCCAAGCGCCCTCCCAATCTCGCATGACATGCAGCTGCACGGGTGGTCTGTGCGTGGTTAGGAGAACGTGTGCTGCAAGTAGGTGGCGCATGCGGGTGACACGAAATTGGAGTAATTGTATATGCTTCCTGTATATGGTAGGGGCCATATACAGTTACCCTACACGACATAACACGACGAACAAGGAGCGTGCACAGCTGGTTGCAGACTAACCGAAAGTCGTATGTTTTCGCTCGACCAATCGCAGCATGTTTGCGCTACGCGTCAGACGGAGGCCTCCGTGTGCGCTACGCGTCACACGGAGGCCGGAAAGACCCGGGGAGGTGGAGGAATTGTTTCTTGGAAATCGTGGCGCGCCGCCTTCCCGTAACGCTGCCACTTGTGGCATCGATTATCGTCACGGCATTCTGCACAAGGTACGTGTGTTCACTTGAAATGTTTGATACAATTATCGGAGGTGGCTTAAGGGCCCGTTAAAGCTACGAGTATGGTTCAATAATAACACCGAAACACGGGAGAGATTCGGCATGACTGAAGAAGACCTGACAGAATGTTGGTTCGGGATCGCCATGACACACGTTGCATTAACACAACGAATGGAGCGTAACCATTTCAACGGTGAAGTGTTGTTGAGAGAGAGAGAGAGAGATAAAGATGCAAGGAAAGGCAAGGAGGTTTACCAGACGCACATCCGATTTGCTACCCTGCACTGGGAAAAGGATGAAGAGGAGAAAAGACGTTGAAGAGAGATGAGAAGGTACACACAATCACGAGCACACTCGGGGAGCACACACAGTCTACAGGCAGTCACTCAGGTTTGTTGACTTTAAGTAAAGTAGCAGTGCTTTAGTCGCTTTCTGCGCAACTGAGGCAGATGCCCAAGGTCTTAGAATCTCCTGCACACAAAATGGTCCGGGGTTAAGTTGATTCAAAACCATCCGGAGCTGGCATCGCTGTGTGTCGTAGCAAGCGCAGCTGCACAGGACGTGTTCGATGGTCTCTTCAGCTCCGCAGTAGTCGCATGTAGAAGTGTCTGCCATACCAATGCGAAAGGAGTATACCTTTGTGAATGCAACACCCAACCAAAGGTGGCATAACAGTGCCGCATCGGAACGGGAAAGTTGTGATGGTAGCTTTATCTTGAGCGAAGGATTCAGTTCATAAAATTGACACCTTTGGAAGCTGGTAGACGACTGCTGCATCATTCCTTGATGGAGGAATCGGGACTACACGGGTTCCTTCATGGGCTGAGTGGGCTGCATCATCGGCTAATTGATTTCCGGTAATACCGATATGTCTAGGCAGCCATTGATATATATCATGCCCTCGTGCTAGAGCTTCATGATGGCAATGTCTTATTTCTTGTACCAATTGTTCATGACTCCTCCTACGCATGGCAGACTGCAAACTCTGAAGCGCTGCTTTCGAATCACAGAATATGACCCATTTTCCTGGACTTTCCTGGACGTTCTTGGACGAGATATTGTAAAGCAGCCCTTATAGCAGCAAACTCTGATGCCGTAGATGGAGTCATATACGACAACTTAAATTTGATTGTCATTGCTGCAGCCGGAATTACAGCGGCACCTGATGAGCTGCTGGACGAGACGGACCCATCAGTGTATATCTGCGTTCGGTCCAAGTACAACTCATGTAATAATAGCAGTGTTGCTTGCTTCAATGCTACTCTGGAGTGATTGCTTTTCTTTTTGATACCCGGAATTTCTAGACGTACTTGCGGCTGGTCGAGGCACCACAAAGGACATGCCATTCTCGTAGCGGGCGTATATCCTGATTGAATGCTGTTTAGGTGCTTGGCTATGACGTCTGAAAACGTAGCACGTGGTCTTCCGGAGGGTAGAAGGGCCAAGTGGTGGTCGGGACATGGCTAGCATGTCGAATGTGCGCTCTGAGGCAATCCACAACTCTATATGTCCTGACCGGATGGTCTTTGGCAAGCATGATTGTGGCATAAGTAGAAGCGCATCAGGGCAGTCCTAGGCAGATACGCGGTGTCTGACCCTGCAAACTCTCCAATGAATGAGTACTGGGTTTGCAAGTGTTAGTCAGTACCGGCAAGCTGTAGCGCAATAGACCCAGAAATTGGGCCCTGTACAGTTGTAGCATGGAGGCCACAGAAGTTCCCCATGCTTTCCCGCACATGAATTTCATTGTTGTCGAAGCGTTCATCAACGTATACCACCTCGGGCGTACGCCGTGAGGCTGCTGAACACCACACTAAGGAAAGTTTATGGAGCTAGAACAATTTGCGAGGAAATGAGCTCTCTCTCTCTCTCTCTTTAAATAAACCGACAGGCTTCCCACCACGGTGGTCTAGTGGTTATGGAGCTTCACTGCTGACACGCAGGCCACGAGTTTTCATGTAGGCGAAAATGTTCGAGGCCCGCATAGTTATGTTTAGATGCACGTTAAAGACGCACCCCCCCCCCCCCCCCATCTTTGAGATATCCGTAGCCCTTTCTCGGCGTCTCTCACGATCATATCGTTATTTTGGGACTTTATATTCCATTAAATATTACCAAAACAAGGATACTGCATTTTAGATGGACGCGAAAGTGCTGTAGGTCCACGTACTCAAATTTGGGTGCACGTTGAAGAACCCCAGATGGTCGGAATTTCCGAAGCCCTCCACTACGGCGTCTCATAATCATATGGTGGGTTTGGGACGTTGAACCCCACAGATCAATCCATCAACAAAACGAAGATATAAAAACCCAATAAGAAAAAAAATTGTCAGAAGTGGGATTCGAACCCACGCCCGGAAGACCGGACTGCGACCTGAACGCAGCGCCTTAGACCGCTCGGCCATCCTGACTGAACGATTGTTGCCGACGAGCGGCACAATGTCAATACCAAGGCGCTAAGATTGTGGCATCACGTTTCGCTCGTTTCAAAAGAGTAGGGTAGTATATTCTAGGCACTATAGTACTACCCAAATAAAACCATAAAATAATATGATGAAGCTTTATGCGCCGAAACGAGGCGGCCCACATCCGTTTATTTCTTCTTCTTTCTCTCTTTTTTCATGCACGTAAATCTATACATGGGTACACAAGTGTTGCTTCAATTCAATTCGCCCCATCGAAATGATCACAGTGGCGTAGCCAGACAGTGGCACACCAAAGCCGTGGCACACCAAAGACCCCAGCTGGTCGATATCACCGGAGCCCTCCAATGCGGCGTCTCTGATAATGATAGGGTGGTTTTGGGACGTTAAACCACACATACAAATCAATCAATCAATCAATCAATCAACCAATCAATCAATCAATCAATTATCCAATCAGGTATTTAATCAATTGATCGAATAATGAACAAAAAGATATGAAGGAATAAAACATTATAACTCACAACTAAATAAAAATACAGGGTTATTGAAATCAACAAGCCATCATTATTACAGAAAAACTGAAAAATACAACACTGTCTTAAATATATTCTATTCGCTTATAGATTTAGTTGAAAAGTGTCCTCTTTGCCTTCAATATCCACTTTGTCTCCCATCATTCAAACAATGATGCAATAGACTGAAAACCTCGAGGTAACTTACCGCACATCCCTCACACTGCGTCCCATTAAAGCCTTACCAAGTGATAATGATGATTATGATGGTGACCTAAATGTATGGCTCACATCCACTCTGGAGGATTGGCCAGGAAACAAATAATTAGATAGAAAGAATTATATAGTAATTGTTATTGTAATGAATTATATAACGGTTAGGAAATATTAAATTTTACTAAGTTGGATGCTTGCGATCAAAACCGCCTTGATTCGATTATGCATCCTTCTTCAACAGAACAGATGTCCTGGTGACAATGACGAAAAGTTCTGGTACCAAGGGTTAAACAGGCTTTCGTCTTCAAGTGCATCAGATATATAACTATATAAAAGAATCAAAACGGCTACCATGCTAATTTCACAAGCACACACTAATTACTTATTTTCGTCATTATTCTATTTCATAAACTCTTTATTATAATTTTTATTCTTTATATTTATATTTTTATTTGTTTTTCTTAACAATTCATAATAGTCTGTTGGCACAACTAAGCCTTTTGTTTGTCTTAAAAAACATAAGGCACCCCCCCCTCTTTTTTTTTTCCTTTTCCCAAAATACAATTGCCGTGCGATTCATCGCCGATACCCCACGGTGGGTTGAGCCATTCATCTTGGGTCCTACCAACCAACCAACCGCCACGGTGGTGTAGCGGTTCCAGTGACCGGCTGCCAAACTGAAGGTGGCGGATTCGATTCTGGCAGCGGCGCCCGCATTTCTATGGAGACAAATTGCTAGAGGTTCATGTACTGCGCCTTATCAGCGCACTTAAAAGGACAACAGTGGTCGCAATTGCCGAGGCCCTCCCCTTCAGCTCACCTCATAATCATAGCGTGGATTTGGCAATACTTGTGAATGATGTTGCCAACAGAAGCTTTATCACTACAGTTGTTACTTCACTGCTAAAGTGTACTAGAAGCTTTTAGTGCACTATTCACTGCTATGCAGCTTGCACGTCATGTAATGAAATCGCGAATCAGTTTAAAAAGTCCATACTATTGTGCAATCACTCTTTGAAAGCGCAATATAACTGTGCTCCGGCTTACTCGCGTCTGAAACAGAGAAGCGTAGAAAAACAATTAGTTTATGCAGCTCGACAGATTTATTACGCTCGACTGATAAAAAAAAAACTTGATGCATCAATGACAATTATTTTGATAAGGCGTCCACCCACGACCCTGCTGTCTAGGTTTCAATGGATATCTGAACGTTCACCAGATTGCACACTTGCGAGTTGGGTTCATAGGCATTCCTGCCGCGCAGCCAAATGCTGTCGAGAATTTGGGGAAGTTCATCAGCGGTGTGTTCACTCTAAGTCTTCCAGGTATCTCACCGAAGTTGAGCTTTCGTATCCAGGCATCGCGGCTTGGATTATCACACAGTCCTACGGCGTAAAGAACGAAGAACAGCTGCTCCATGTCAAGCTGGCGCTCGTCCACCGAGATCTTGAGCCTTTCGGTGCCGTCCTTGGCTGCGAGCGCCTTCATGTACATGTCGTACATCGGCCCCAAGATAGCATTGTCCGCCACATTCTCCTCGAGCCTCATTCTCGCCTCGAAGTTGTCGCCGATGAGGTCTCGTATCTCGACATAGTACTGGTCCTGGAAGCAGAGTTCTAGATGAGAGAACTTGCTCATTTCATCCGTGTTCCACCAAGTGGCCACCGCGAGGTTGTGGTCGATCGTGGCGCCGCGACGGTCCACAGCACCGAACATGCCTCGAAACACTTCGGGTAGTATGAGGGGAAAGAGGACCGGCTCGATAGTCTTGGTGATGTCGTTCAGGAAGGCGACGCTGGCATGTGGAATGAAGAGTGCGTTGCGCCCAAAAAAGTACTCGTGCCCGGGAGACAGAGCGGTGTGGTCATACCTTGCGTCGAGGTCGTCCTTAGGTGGTTTGGTCTCCCAGTACACATTCATGGTACCCGCCTGCAGTTCCCGAAAGCTCCCTAGCAAGTGGCTCGGGTCGAAAGGCTGGGCGTTGAAGTTGTAGTAGCTGGCAATCGTGTTGATGTCATCCGTGCTGGCCAGGAAAAGGAAGCGCATGTTCTCGATCTTGTCGACACCAATGCCGATCGCCGAGCGCTCCAGCCACGAGGATGATGAGAGGAGGCGGTCCGTCATGCTGCTTTTCAGCTGAACCTCCAAGCTCGACATACTGTAGTCGTAGTGTTTCAGAAGGAGTGTCGAGTTGTTCTTGCTGAATGTCATGCGACCGAAGAAGCGCATGCCGTGCTTATAGAGCCGTTCTAGCAGGTGCATACAGGCTTGACGCCGGTCCGGTACAAACTCCAGGTAGTTATCGTGACTCAAGCGCAAGAGGGGGCTGGCTGCTTTGGCGAGCAGCGGGGACACGTGAACTACGATGCGATAGCCCACATAGTTCAGAAGATTCACAGTGTCCGTCTCGTTCAGAACGGCGGGCAACTTGCTGATGTAGTCCTGATTCATGAGGGCTACCGGTTTATCGTTGTCGAAAGTTTCGATATCCTGAAAAAGTATAGTGAGATACTCTTTCCAGTTCCACTTTCCGTCATGGTGCAGCTGGCCCACGTGCTTGATGCGATCCTGGAATTCTATGAAGTGCGGCGTGGCCATAACACTGCGGAGCTTCTTCTCGAGAAGAGCAATGGCCTCAGCTTGGTCGGTCATGTCTTGCCTTTTTTCTAAAAGCGACAATGCGATGATCACCTTGTGAGTGAAGTTTTCGGGTGATTCATCGAGATATGCCAGGTTGTACCTCTTGAGGGTCAAGCTTGGCGCATCAATGTGAACCGTGTATCCGCGGTCATCTTCAAACGGCTTCCGCAGGAACACCCTAGCGAATGGAAAGACGCCCAAATCACGGTCCACAAATGCCGAGATGGTCACAACGTTGGCACCACGAGGAGCCTTTTTGTATGGCCAGCCAGCCAAGTTGTACTCCTCCAAGAGAGTTCGTAGCGACGTAAAATTCTGGTCGTTCTTCTCCTGGGACTCGCACTTGGGCAGCAGCGAGATTGCCTGATGCAAGAACACGCCTGGATACTTGTGGTAGTGCTCCTCGTTCTCCTTTAGGTAGTCTCGGAAGAACCTCTCAATGTCCATCATCATCAAGCCGGACGCCCTCTCTCTGTACGCCCTGGACTGAACGTCCAGGTCTCCCGCCGACCAGTGTCGAGAGCAGACGTGCGCGTAGAAGTCCGTGCATGGGCTGACGCTGGAGTTGAGCCTTCCCTGCAGGTAATTCTCAGCCCAGACGCATACGTCAGACTTACAGCTGAACTGCATGAGCTTCTTCCGCTCGTGCTTCGCTAGGTGGTACTGGCTGTCTACTCCAGCCAGGATGTCATCGCCGCCGCCGGCGCTCATCGAACCGTTGGCACCACGTCGCAGTAGCTCCATAGAGTGGTTGAACATGAGCATGATGGCCCCGCCCACGTGCAGCTTGTACGTGGTGACAGCCACGCCCACGACTACCATGAGGAGGCCCACGCTACATACAGCCATGTACGGCAGCCGGCTGGGCGAGTGAGCCACCAAGATTTGCGACCGCGACCTTGTCTGGACGGTCGTGCATTTGGGCTCTGGAGGTGACGTTGAGCCCGACAGCTGGACCGACTGCAGGGAGTACCGAACGCCGGGCTCAGTGCCGTGATCGTCCGCGTATTCTGAGCCGTTTTCGAAGTCGGCGCTCAGGGACATCGCTGAGGCTGACAGCGGCGGAGGTTTCTTCTTCAGTGATTTAAGCAGTGGCGCGCGCTCTCGCCTCTGATCTGTTGCTTCCTTTTCGTCGTCTCTGTATCGTAAGTTTTACTGTTAACATAAAAGCAATATTTTCGCGACATTTGCCAAGTTATTGTGCATAAGCGATGGCCGGCTCAAACAGGTTTACATAAAGTGCTTATTGCACACAACTTTGAGAATCCCTGATAATTTCTTTTTGAAAAGCTCATTTGTGCGGAAGTCATATTTTACGGCTCATGTCGGTGACGCCGTGTTTCTCCGCCGCAACCTGCATGGGAGCCGTCGCTAAGGCCGGCAAGTTACGATAATGCTGTCACATCAAAACTCTGTAAGCACATTCACACGCGCTTCAGTTTCACTCCTATTGTTCAAGTTCAATTTATATAAGCATACACAAAAACAACCTGGCTCTGCTATATATACACAGCCTATATTCAGGATATTAAATTTGGAGGTATAACAGTGTTGGTATGACGGTACTTTGCTGCGTTGGTGCGAGTCCGTAAAATATCCGCACTCTTAAAAAAAAAAGGTTGTAGTACTTAGTAAGTTCGGTTTACTTGTCACATATGTTACTAACCAGTTAGTGAGTAAGGTTAGTAACGAGGAGGTTAGTAACCTTTACTGCCTCAATCATTACTAACGCAGTTAGTATTAGATACTAACGTAGGTAGTAACGGTTGCTAACAAGGGGCGATCATTTTGCCTCGCGAATCTCCCGATTTATAACGTCCTATTCGCGAGCATCAACATTTTGATATATCACTCAGCAATTACGCACATTGTGTCAAAAAGCAGAACAGCGCACATATACAAGTACACACGAAAAATACAGTTCCTAGGCGGTTTCAAGAGTATTTATAGCCCTAACTTTGGGGAACGCAGCTGGTGCCGGTGTGCGGCTATGCTGTAGGATGTATAAGTTGAGTAAGGCGCCTTTATTTGTACAACATACAGTTTTTTTCGGTAAGCGAGGTAACGTAGTGTAGGGCTTTAAATCAAGCGTATTAATAAAAACGCTTAGTAACGTTTATTTTGCACATTATCGCTTTAATAAGCCCTTGTATTCAAGAGATAAGACTGGGTAGTAAGCTTGAATATATTGCCTCAATGAACTTAAATGGATCCCCGTGCTACTAAATAGGTTGTTAGGTGCTCGTAGTAATAACCTCTAAAGTTTGTTTAACAAGTTCATTAAATACGAGCATGACGAAAAGGTACTAACAGTGCGCAAAACTTAGTAACCGTTGCAACATTCGAGCATTTGCTAACGTGGGTAGGAAAAGGTTAGTAATAACATAAAGAAGGTGAGTAACAGGTGCCGTTACTAACATTTTGCTCGTGGTTACTAGCTTTTTTAAGAGTGGGCATCATTGGCCTACAATTTTAATGTGAATGGTAATTGTAGGAAACTTGATGAACTTTCTAGCAATATTTGCCTCTGTGACGTCAGTTCAGGCGTTTTCCCAGTACTTTGTATCAAGTTCACGCGCTAATCGCGAGCACTGCTCTGATAAAACCATGTTCGACACCAACCATTTAGACAGCGTGCATGGTTGTTGAGTAAGGCCAAGTGCTTAGCTGGCGTGCGTGCATGCGCACATGTGTGTTGTATGAGCGCGTGCGTGCGTGCGTGCGTGTGCGTGCGTGTTAGCATTCAGAAACCGCTCAAACTGATCCAGGAGCAAGCCTTTAGGGCTGTTTACTGAAGTGGACACCGTGTGTGGCGTGGACTTTCAGCCTTCTCAAGCGCTCAGTGGATTCGTCAATGCGTGATAAGATGTAAAAGTTGGTCCCATGGGAAGGAGGAAATCACTAATCTTTTACAAGTTTATCGAGGTGATCTTGTGGGCACTGATTGTGTTGATTCGATCTGTTGTACTGGACACTCCAGCAGCAGCAAATGTAATTTTCCCATCAGGTGACTTTTTAACGAATGTCTGAGCGCTCAGTAGCGGGTTTGTGCTCGTCAGGCTCCTCTGATTGATTGATATGTGGGGTTTAACGTCCCGAAACCACCATATGATTATGAGAGACGCCGTAGTGGAGGGCTCCGGGAATTTCGAACACCTGGGGTTCTTTAAGGTGCACCCAAATCTGAGCACACGGGCCTACAACATTTCCGTCTCCATCGGAAATGCAGCCGCCGCAGCCGGGATTCGAATCCGCGACCTGCGGGTCAGCAGCCGAGTACCTTAGCCACTAGACCACCGCGGCGGGGCCGTCAGGCTACTCTTCGAAATAAATATCTCAGAACTCCCACGTACACAAGGAAGGAGCTTCGCTATACCCACCGCATGCTTACTCGTACAGACTATTTTACGGGTGCGTATTGGTGCCGCCAAATTCGGCGGTAGCCTTGCCGCATTGTATCTTTGACAATCAAACGCACTGTGCAATTGTAGGCGAAGACCCAGGAAAACCAGTGAATAGACGCATTCGACGTTTGACGATCACCGTAGTCACACGTTGCAAAATCCAAAATTTAGGAAAACATTTCAGAGCCCGAGGAGGCGGCGCCCAAGTGTCTGATGTAAATGCGTGTTACTTGATATATCGCTCGCGATTTCTCGGGTATGTTGGTCGACTCCTTCTTGTTGCCAGCTTGGCAGCACCCTTATCATCACTCGCTCAAGTACTGGCAATCCCAACCACAACTTAATGGGCACGTGCCAATTCAATTCAATAGGGCAAGCTGCTTTTTTTTTCTATTATTCTTCTTGTCTGTGCATTCGTACGTTTTTTTTTGTGCTTTTCGTTGAAAAACTGGCTCGTGCAATCGACGTATCTGTGGCAGGACTGGTCGCGTATCAGGGCTGTATAAGCGCAAATGCTGCTTGCTCTTCTGCCAGCTTGCACTTACCCGAGCTTCACGGCAAGCGTGCATATCGCTTGTCCCACTATAATCTATCTCGAGTTCCAGCGCTGCGGTTTTATAGATCGTGTCAAGGACGCTGGTCTCGAATTGCACACATAAATAGACTTCTCTCTCACCCGGCCACTATTCCACTACATCTCCATGCTTTCTCACCTTTCTCTCTCTCTTTCTTCGTAAGCTCCACCAAAACTGCAGAGGCGGTGTTGGTGGAGCTCCGGTGCACCTCTGAAGCTGGTGAACGAAGAAAGAAAGAAATAAAGAAAAAAGTATATTTAATAATATTATCTAGAGTTTTGCGTCCCAAAGCCACTAACAAATTATGCTCGTAACTATTTATGCTCGTAAATTATGCACGTAACAAACTATATGCTCACTATCAAATAAAGATACAGATGTATCACTCACACATGCATTGCATGTTGCAGATATACAAAAAGCTTCTATCAGTTCGCGGGATGGTGGTATCGCCGCTCCTACCCAACATCTTAATCAGTCGGCAAATTGGTAAGCACATGTGCAAGCTTTGCAATGCGTGGGAAATGCGTGTTCCCGTTACTTCTAAGTGAATGGTCATGTTCCCTTGCACAATATCTCTTACACGGAAGCTCATGTTTCCTAGTGCGATTTCCTACAAGACAGCGGTATTTCATAGACGACGCCAGTGGCACATTTTGCATACGCCAAAGCGTGATTCTTCCCGCTACCACTGGATTTTTTCTCGCCAGAGTAGACTCTGGGACAAAGCCCAACCAGCTTACGTTGGGCAGATAACACCATCGGCACATCGTGCCTATACTCGCTACCTTATTCAAGTTGTGAGAAGTGTGATGCATATAAGGCATCACCTATATGGACGCCACCTGTGGTGCGGGCCCGGGGTCGACGCTGGACCAGGCTGCTTTGGCACCGGGCAGAAGAACCTCTGCGATCACCGTCACCGCCATGCAAGGATATTTGGCCGCCAATAAACGTCGCACCTGATAATTAAAGCTATCTTGCATTGCATGTGGGCATGATTTCGTAAGAGTGGAACGTAGACACAGTTTGGCAATCCGCCTCTTCACATGCTTACACTGTGAAGAATCATAAGGCAACATGGCCGTCTGCACCCGGGGACTATAACGCCAACTTAGATGATCAGTGAAAACGAGACACACACATATATGTATATATATATATATATATATATATATATATATATATATATATATATATATATATATATATATATATATATATAAACTGCAGCAAATTCATAGGTGAAGGTCAGGCCGTTTCTGCATTGTTTAAAAGCGTTAAGAATAGATATCATCAAAGTAGTTGTCTACGGTTGTGAAATGGGGCCTCTTAAAAAAAATAAAAAATTGCCCTCATACATAAAACTTTAGACGTATACTTAAAACGTACCTAAAATCTTTAAACATACCTAAAGACTTTAAGAACACATTTTTCGCCAAGAGCACTTTCTAAACACCGATCAACGTCCGCTAAACAAATGTTGCACAAAACAGGCACTACACATTATCCACCACAAATCTCTTGTCGCTGCAAATGAAGTTCGTTCCCAAATGAAACACAATTTAGTTGGCGCGCATGCACTGCTTATGAAAGACAGAAAGATAATTGCTGGGGTGTAGCGCTCCAAAACAACGATGCGATTATGAGAGACGCCGTAGTGGAGGGCTTCACAAACTTCGACCACCCGGCTTTCTTCATCATCATCATCATCATCATCATCATCATCATCATCATCATCATCATCATCATCATCATCATCATCATCATCATCATCATCATCATCATCATCATCAGACTGACTACGTCCACTGCAGGACAAAGGCCTCTCCCATGTTCCGCCAGTTAACCCGGTCCTGTGCTTGCTGCTGCCAATTTATACCCGCAAACTTCTTAATCTCATCTGCCCACCTAACCTTCTGTCTCCCCCTAACCCGCTTCCCTTCTCTGGGAATCCAGTTAGTTACCCTTAATGACCAGCGGTTATCCTGTCTGCGCGCTACATTCCCGGCCCATGTCCATTTCCTCTTCTTTATTTCAACTATGATATCCTTAACCCCCGTTT